AGCAACAAGGACAACAATTCACGGGCTGCGAACACACAGACCACCTCCACAAGAGATTCTACTTCAGCTCAACACGACAGCTGTCGTTGCAGGCGTGCTGTCTGTGGACAAAAATGGAGCAGCAATTCCCTAAATTGGGGGGCCCGAAAACAGGGCCCCAAAAAGCTTCCAAAATTGGACCTACTTGTTGGCAGAAAGAGAGGAGGTCTTCATTGTTTTACATGCTTGGGTCCCAAATTATGACCCCAAAATGGGCCCAAAATTGGGACCCCAAAAATGGGTTCAAAACTGCTCCTGCAACCACAGCTGCAAATTCCATCACAAAAGCACACACACACACAGAGACACACATTTGCAGGACAGAAGAACAAGAATTGCAAAGCTGGTCCGGCAAAAAATTTTTGCAGATCTCAAGTTAAAAACCCACTTTGGGGGGCCAGACGTGCGTTGCCAGAAATTCATGGTTGCAGGCACCCCCAATTCTGGTCCCCAAACTTGCTCCATTTCGTACTTTTGGAGACTGCATTGAGAGAACCAACACACACGACACAGAGACACACGATACAGGACAACCGACGACCGCAAGGACCGACGGACTCACAAAGAAACATGCCAAATCACCAATCGAGTTGAACTAAAGGAAGCCAAAATGCCAAAAACCATTCAATGGACCCAAGACCGACTGAGGATCAAGACCGATTCAACTCAAATGACAAGAAACAAACCAGGGGACCCAATCGACCAGAAGCTGAGGGACCACCACAACTCACAACAAGGGAAAAGGACAGACTGAGATCAAAGGACTGAATCCAAAGCACAACAACTTCGAATCTGTTTGGAACAGATCCGACCAGCAACATCTAAGGAACATGGACACAAACATGAAACAGACAACAAACGCAGAGAGAGAACAAACAGGAGATGAAAAACAAAACACGAAAAAACAACCAACAATCAACAGACAAGAACTCCAGGACCCAAGATCGGACACTTGGAAGACCAAGAAAGAGGGAGCAACCAAGATTGACCAGAAGACTGAAGAGAGAAAGATCCGAGGCAGCCTCTTCACTGTGTTTGCCTTGTTCATTGTGAATGGGTGTGTGTTGTGGTTTTTCGACGTTTTGGCAGGAGTCGTGTGTAATCAGCAGCTGAATAGGACACGGCAAGACTCAGAGCAAGAAGAAAAATCAGCACCAAGACCTCGAAAAAGACACAGAACCAACAGAACCGATCCAGCGATTCTGGAGACTCAGGGACTCTAAAAGAAATTTTGAACCAAAAGAGTCTTAAGGACCACTTTAATAACCTGACTTTTGAACCAAGGGGCGTCTTAACACCGGGTGTTTTGCACCATTTTAAGTCCAGATCGAGCCCAAAGGTGTCTCAACACTACTTAGGCAGAAAACCCAAAACCAGGTGTCTTATGAATGGACTTTGAACCATGGAGTGTCTCGCTTGCAGAGAGATCCCAAGAAATGCAGATGCTTTTTGAGCTTGCCAGAAGTTGCAATCGTTGGTCTGAAAAAAGGAACCTTGAAATTATTCATCAAAAAAAAAAGTGATCCGAAAAAAAAAAACAGTACAGACAACACCTGACAATCAGCAAAAGTAAGACGATAAAAATGTAAAACCATCAAAAACAAGCTCTAAAAACAAAACACCTGTCAGATGCACTCCGGTGTTTCGCTCGCTTCGCTCGCACTTATTCACATTGTGGAAAGACACTTTGCCTTTTCAAAAAGGTTCGGTTTGGGCGTCGCGCGCAACATGGACGTCTCAGCAGTACAGTTGAACTCGTCTCGTCCTGCAGTTGATTTCTGTCCAAACGGCACTGTCAGAGGCTTTCAAAAACGCTTGTTTCAAGCAATTTCAAATCGCGGACTTGGGAGGTCAAGAGGAGCTTTTCACGGAGAAGACGCGCTTCCTGACCATTGTTCAAAGCACTTCTAAACGATGGAGTGTTGGAAGATTTGCCGGATTCCTTGGCCATTGTTTCAAGCTGCTTTTTTCATCATCTTCAAAGATGTTTGAAAGCCACTGGAACGCACCTCTTTTTGCTTTTCAGCAACCGAATCTGAGCATCGAGGTCGTGCCAGGAAAGGGGGCCTGGGGGTCCTAGTTTAGGGGGTCCATTTGGCCCGCAAAATTAACTACACCCCTCCAGCCCCCCACAGTACTTGGTGACCAGAAGTGACTCAAGCCAGTTTAGGTCTGCACAGAGCTTAGCAGAGCTCCTAAGAGGTGCTAGGAACCCACCCGCAGTGTTTAGGAGTGGAAGTTCCATGCCTGAGTGTTTTCACCTGAAGTACCTTTGTTTTCCCATTGGCAGACAGTGTTTGAAGCTGGAGAGCCGTGCTCGCATTGGCTCAAGACGAGCGGAGCTCGAGAAGCTGTGAACGGCGCAGTGAAGAGAGTCCGCACTTCGTGCTGTGAGGGTTGAGTGCAGTCTTTGACCTGAGGTCGCTTAGGCCCCGTAGCTGTGCCACGAGTTTCAACGTGGTAGCGGAGCTTCGTTCTCCAGCATGGACACTGGTGAAGACGTGTGCCTGGACGAGACCGTTCCGAGAGGCCGCAGTGCAAGCAGCCTGAGTTCCACAGAGCTTTCTGGTGCAAGGTCACCAAGTGCCCGTGGGAGAAGAGAACGTGGAAGGTCTTTGCCAGCGCGACCGGCTTCAGTTCCACGCGGAGTCGACCCAAGGCAGCGTTGCCGCTCGGATCTGATGGTGCAAACACTTACTTTCAAAAGTAAGCGGGGGTCTGGGGGCGCAGCCCCCAGCCAATTTTATCACCCATTTCTGCCAAAAATACCCTTATGAAAGATCCAGAAGCATTGCAGTAGACAGTTTTTTTTGAAAACAGCAAAGAAGATCAAAATTAAGACAACTTTCAACAAAAAACTGATGGTTTGTACAATTCAAAAAGAATGAAACCACAATTAAAAATTAAGAAATTATGACTTTTGGCTTTGAAGAAATCAAACGCGCTCAGACTTCCTTCAGAGTTTCTTCAGATTTTTTTTTGAAATTAAAAAATTTTTCAGTTGGATTTTGGGAAAAAGCAATGGTGAGACCTTGCAACAGTAATAAGATTTTTGTAGTTGGAGTTAGAGTTTGGATTCTTGGAGTCAGAGTTTTTTGGGTTGAAGTTTTGGAGTCGATTTTTTTGAAAGTTAGAGTTTTAAGAGGTTAGAGTTGGGTTTTAAGCTCTTGTCTCCAAACTCAATCTCCACTGTGAAAAACAAGAACTTGAAAGCTCTGCTCTAACTTCAAAACTCTGACTCTCAGAATCAAGTTTCCGGAGTTAGAGTTTTGGTTAGAGTTTTAGAGTTTCAAGTTGGAGTTTTGGGTGAGAGGTTTTGGTCAATTTCGAGTTTTGGGACAGAGTTTTGGGTTAGTTTTTTTTGGGGCTTAAGTTTTGGAGCAGAGTTTTGGGTTAGAGTTGGGTTAGAGTTTTGGGTTTCGAGTTTTCCGGTCAGAGTTTTGGGGTTTTTGGGGCAGAGAGTTTTGGGTCAGAGTTTTGGGTTAGAGTTTTTGGAGTCAGAGTCTTTCGGGTCAGAGTTTCGGGGTTAGAGTTTTGGGTCAGAGTCAGAGTTTTGGAGTTAGTTTTCAAGAACAAAATTGGAAATCGGCTATTTCAGTAAGTTTGGATTGGAGCGGAGTTAGATTTGGGATTTTGGAGTGGATTTGGGGTCAGAGTTTGGGGTTTGAAGTTCAGATTTAAAGTTTCAGAATCAGAGTTGCAGAGTTGGAGTCTTTTGAAACCAGAGTTTGGTGACGCCAAATTAAGATAACCGTTGCCAGAGTGCCAATGAGTTTTCGCAGAGAAACAATGGGTTTTGGGGGGGTTGAGAAAATTCGCACAGAGAAGCAGGGGGTTTTGGAAGACCAGAAATCGTGTCACTCACACAGCAAAGCGGATTTGAACTGTGCTTCTACGAGAATTTTCGCACAGAAAAGCGGTTTTTGGGGGGATTGTGCTTCTATGAGAAGTTTCGCACAGAAACGGGATGGATTTTTGGGGAATTGTGCTTTTATGAGAATTTTCGCACAGAGAAGCATCGGAGTTGGGGAGACGTGCTTCTATGAGATTTTCGCACAAACGGGGGTTTTGGGGGACTCTATGGGAAGTTTCGCACAGACCGTAAGCAGGTTTTGGGGGACTGTGCTTTTCTGAGAATTTTAGCACAGAGAAGCAGCGGGGTTTCGGGGGACTGTGCTCCATGAGAAGTTTCGCAGAGAAGCAAGCGGGATTTTGGGGGGACTGTGCTTCTATGAGGTGTTTCGCACAGAAAAGCAGCGGGGTTTTGGGGGGACTGTGTTTCTATGAGAAGTTTTCGCGCAGAGAAGCAAGCGGGATTTTGGGGGAACTGTGCTTCTATGAGATTTTTCGCGCAGAGAAGCAGCGGGATTTTGGGGTGACTGTGCTTCCATGAGAAGTTTCGCACAGAGAAGCAGGCGGGGTTTTGGGGGAACTGTGCTTCTATGAGAAGTTTTCGCACAGAGAAGCCAGCGGGATTATGGGGGAACTGTGCTTCTATGAGAATTTTCGCACAGAGATGCAGCGGGATTTTGGGGTGACTGTGCTTCCATGAGAAGTTTCGCACAGAGAAGCAGGCGGGGTTTTGGGGTGACTGTGCTTCTATGAAAATTTTCGCACAGAGAAGCAGCGGGGTTTTGGGGGGACTGAGCTTCTATTGCATTTGCGTTTGTGTTTGGCTTTTGGTGAGTTTTTTGGCTTGCATTTGGCTTGTATTTGCGGGATTTTCTTGCTCTTGGACTTGAGATAGACGGAAAGCAGTGAGTCAATCCGGCATGCCTCCAAAACAAGAGCAAGTGTGGTACTTCGATTCGTTGCTGCCAGTACAACCACGCGAAGGATTGTTGGAATGCTGTAAGAGGTGGAGCGAAAAGGAAAAGGAAGCCAAACTTCGCTTCGTATCTTCTCAATTGAAGAAGAAGACGACGCAGATTGGTTACTGTCACAGGCACGAAGCATGCTCCATGAAGTTCCGGTTTTCCTTGGTGAGCAACAAGGAAGAAGGCAGTTTGGCAACAAAAAAAACTTTGTTGTTGTTTGGGAAGTCGGTCTCAAAATTCTTGGGAAGCGATGTCGGAGAGTGCTAAGGTTCCGCGCTTCCACCAGACTTGCTTGATTTGGATGAGGAAGTCTTTTACTTGCGTGTTGAAAGATCCGTTCGGGAGGGTCGCAAGCACGACGGGAAGGTCATTGCAGAGGTCGAGCAGCATTTGAATAAGCACCAGTTTGGACGCCACCTTCCAGCAAAACAGGCGAAGAAGGCTATGACAGAGCTGGGAATTCCCGCGGAGCACATTCCAAGTGATCGAGCTTTAGATGGTGTCAGACACCGACATTTGGAAGAGGCCAAATCCTATGACGGCAAGTTTGTTTCCACATTTCGAGCTTTTTGCCAGCACCCACCCTTGCCAGTCGCTGTGCTTCACACGGAAGAGACACCTCTGGTTTCAGAAGAAACGGTTCGGGTCTTGTTTTACGAGCAAGAGAACTTGGATGCCGTGATTGCCTACCTTGGCACACAGGATCGGTGTGTGCTCGTCATGGATGCCACATTCAAGACCAATGTGCAGGATCTTGTGTTAGCTAGCCTCGGACTGGTCGTCTTGCACCAGGTTGGCGGAGTGGTGCGCAATCGATTCTGGCCGGTAGTTTGTGCTGTGTGTGACAAGGAAGATGAACCGTGTTATGCACTCTTATGTCGATCTTTCCAGAAGCTATTGGAAGCTTCGGGTTTGGATTGGAAGAAACTGGTGACGAATGTGGTCATGGATGGTGCAGGCGGTGCCATCAATGCGACAAGTGCATGCTTTCCAGACGCTACTTTGCACCGGGACTTAGAACACATAAAGAAAGACGTCAAGCGCACAGGGACAAAAAAAAAAGTTGACTCAGAGTTGACACTGGAGATAACGGAAATCATCCAGTTCAGCGCGAAAATCGCACATCCATTACAGTTCCATGTCATCTGGGAAGACACGTTGCGAAGGCTGCGTGACCCCGAAGACTGGAATCAGGACAGCGTGCTGTGTGTGTGTGTGTGTGTGTGTGTCTGTGTGTGTGTTTGACATGGTTTCGATCTCTTGAGCTGGCTTCATAGACTATTTTTTTCGATCTTGATAGCGCTGGGTTGATAGACCAGAAGGCTGCTGCTGGGAAAGCTGCCTTGGGGTAACGCAGCGGAGCTTGTAGGTTTGTTTGAGGAGAAATTCGCGGATTACTTGGAGAAGTGGGTCTTGCAGAAGAAAGGCTTGTGGTGGAGCGCAGATTGGCAGAGTGGTCTCGGTCAAGTGTGCCCGGGTTACGGCACTTATGTGTCGAATTCCCAAGAGCGGGCTTGGCGTTCGATCAAAGGTCTTTTCAAGAAAGGCTTCCGACACCAGGATGTCAGCCAATTGGTGCGTGAAACAGCCGTGACCCTGCAGACTCTGGTGCGCGGAGGACAGTATGCCAAAGCATGCTTTCAGATCGAGGAGCCTCCTGAGTCACTTGCGTACAGTGCGAAAAGGTTAAAGTCCGAGCAAGATGATGAAGGAACCCAATCCCACCGGCTCACGTTGGACTTGATGCAGCAGTGGCGAGATAAGGAAGGCATGCGGCATGTGTTGTGTTCCTAGAAGCAGTGTTGGTGCTTGGTTAAAACAGTGCAGTAGTGTATGCCGCAAGGTGACGCAAACACCTTTCTCAAGTACGAGACTGCGGGCCGCATCATGGTAGACTGTCGGACGGTGGACATTACTTCAGTCATCGTTATGCCAAAGTACAAATTGGAGTATGCCAAGAACAAGAAAAGGGACATGGTGCAGCGGTTGGACTTGGCACTTTGTTCTTTGTATGAAGATGGTGAAGCTGCTTTTCGCACTGCTTTGGGAAACCCAAGGCAGTGGTCCTTTTCCATGCATAAAAAATTGTTCTACAAGTACACTGTGATGTATGTGCTTAGCACGGGCCGTGTCGTGGATGAACATCCACATTTTGTGCACAGTAGCTGCAGCGAGCAGGCTTTCTTTTACAAATCCGTGTTAGGCAGCTTGAATCTGCACCCCATTGCAAGGGGCCCCAAGACTCTCAAAGCCAGGCGTCCACGGCGGGACAGGCGAACCGAGGAGTTTCGCAAAAAAATGCGTACTCCTTCGCCTTGATCCTGCAACACGTTCATGGTTTGAGGAGCCGATTGTTTTCTGTGTTTGTGGCTTTTGGACATGTGCTTTGACGGATAGGAAAAAGTGCGGAAATTTGATACCCTTGTTTACGGCTGCGGGATGATTTGGGACGCTGTGTTATTGCGATAGTCAGATGTCTTTATTTTGATGCAATCAGAAGTCAGATGTTTTTATTTCGGTGCAAGCAAAAGCTGCGGAATGCCAAGACGTGAGTGCCTGAAGCCTTCGGGTTGAGGGTTTAGGGTTTTGGTTTAGGGTTGCCAGTGAAGGGCCTCTAAGGGCCTCTAAGGGTCTCTGAGGGCAGGCAGTGAAGGGCAGTGAAGGGCAGTGAAGGGCCTCTGAGACCCTTTATGAAGGGCCTCTAAGGGTCTTTGGGCTGAGGGCAGGGAAGAGTGAAGGGCCTTTAAGGGCTTTTAAGGGTCTCTAGGCTGAGGGCAGTGAAGGGCAGTGAAGGGCCTCTAAGGGTCTCTGGGCTGCGTTCTGGGCTGAGGGCAGTGAAGGGCAGGGAAGGGCAGTGAAGGGCCTCTAAGGGCTTTTAGGGGCCAGTGAAGGGCAGTGAAGGGCCTCTAAGGATCTCTGGTGAGGGCAGTGAGGGGCAGTGAAGGGCAGTGAAGGGCCTCTAAGGGTTTCTGGGCTGGGGGCAGTGAAGGGCAGGGAAGGGCAGTGAAGGGCCTCTAAGGGCTTTTAAGGGTCTCTCGGGGGCAGTGAAGGGCAGTGAAGGGCCTCTAAGGGTCTCTGCAGTGAAGGGCAGGGAAGGGCAGTGAAGGGCCTCTAAGGGCTTTTAAGGGTCTCCAGGGGGCAGTGAAGGGCAGTGAAGGGCCTCTAAGGGTCTCTGGGCTGAGGGCAGTGAAGGGCAGGGAAGGGCAGTGAAGGGCGTCTAAGGGCTTTTAAGGGTCTGTAGGGCCTCTAAGGCTCTCTGGGCTGAGGGCAGTGAAGGGCAGTGAAGGGCCTATAAGGGCCTCTAAGGGCCTCTAAGGGTCTTTGGGCTGAGGGCAGTGAAGGGCAGTGAAGGGCCTCTAAGGGCTCTAAGGGCGGGCAGTCAAGGGCAGTGAAGGGCCTCTAAGGGTCTTTGGGCTGAGGGCAGTGAAGGGCAGTGAAGGGCCTCTAAGGGCCTCTAAGGACCTTTGGGCGGGCAGTGAAGGGCAGTGAAGGGCTTCTAAGGGTCTCTGGGCTGGTTTAGGGTTTGGGTTAAGGGTTTTGGGTTTAGGGTTTGGGGTTTAGGGTTTGGGGTTTAGGGTTTAGGGTTTGGGGTGTAGGGTTTGGGGTTTAGGGTTTAGGGTTTGGGGTTTAGGGTTGAAGGCAAGGCCAGTGCAGGCCCCGGCAAACGCTCACCTGCGCAGGCAAGCGTCTCGCAAAGGCAGGAGCTGCGGCCACTCACCTGTGCAGGCAAGCGCCGCCACCAGCAAAACCGCGCGTTATTCCCCAAGGCAGTGGACAGCTACGACTGGAGCAGGCCATCAGCCACCAGTCGGGGCTGTGCCCTCGTTTGGACCTCAGTTCTACCAGATGGGAACACCCCCTCAGACAGCACGACAAGAACCCCTTCAAGTTCCGAATATGCAGTTGCCCGTTGCACCTGGAGTAGCTCAACAGTGGAGTTCACGAGAGCAATGCTGCAAGCGCAGGACGAGCAGATCGACAGCAGGCAGCTCAACTTCAACAGATGAGTGCCATGCTTACGCAAGCATTGCAGCTTGCAAGTGCGAATGCTGCCAATGCGCATATTGCAGCAGCTGCAGCTTCATCGTCGACGGGTCCTACACCTGGAGGAGACCCCTCAGCAGCACCTGCGAATGCATCGACTCCTGTGGACATGGAAGTAGACTCTGGTGTACGAAACAAGAGAGCAGAGGGCTACATTCCACAGTTGCCTCAGCTGAACTATGCGTCCATGACGAGCAGACATGCTGAAATCCGAGTTTGGACAGCCTACAGAGACGAACTTACGAGTTGGCTTTGTTTGCTCAACGACCGCTACGCTACGGAATTGCAAGAAGCGATCAGTAGCAATGTGGAAGTCTTGCAAGTGAGGCTTGAAGCCGGGAAAGCAGCCCGGTCAACCAAACTTTGGTTTTTGCTTCGTCAGTCCATGAGCAAGTTCCAACGTGGGCAAGATTTGGTGCATCTCATCGAGGTGAAACAAATGGGAGCAAGTGCCGGATACGAACTCTGGCGCTCGTTGAACAACGAATTGTCAGTTCGCTCCAGAGTGGAAGGACAGGCCCTCCGCGAACAGGCGTTAGGCCTGGTGCCACCAAAGCATCTCAAGCGACCACTTGATGTCGCCAGGTGGTACACTACCGAGCTTCTCAAGTTCGAGGCGCAGGTGAAGCATCGCTTCCCGGAGTTGCTCATCGGAGAACAAGAGGGAGTCCTGTGCCTGATGAAGCACTTGGATTCTGAGACCAAGAGATATCTGCTCCTCCATCACTCAACAAAGAGCATGGGTGAGCTGATGACTGGTTTGCAGTTTTACGACGAGCAGCTTCGTGTGATGGACTTCCAGAGAGAAGGAGCATCCGGGTATGCGAATGCCTTCAAGGGTGGCAGAGGCGGAAAGGGCGACAGAGACAAGAGCAACAAAGGCCCCAAGGGCAACCAAGGCAACAAAGGCGAGAAAGGAGAAAAGGGACTGAAGGGCGGCAAAGCGAAAGGAAAGGACAAGAAAGGTGAGCGAAGCGGAAAAGGGGACAAAGCTCGAAGCAAGAGCAGAGAGGCGAAGAAGACGGATGTCTGCCGGAACTGCGGGAAGACTGGACACTGGGCACGCGACTGCTGGGCACCTCCGAAGGACAAAGCCGCAGCGGCAACGAACCAGGCCGTTACGACGCAGCCAGAGGCATCATCATCTTCATCGTCTACTTCGGCGAAAGCAGCAGCACAGCCCACAACCAAGGGTAGTGGAAAAGCACAGTCATCAATCAAGACGTTTCTGGAGGGATATCACTTTGGTATGATGCTCACGAACCAAGTGGTTAGTTTTCCTTCAGATGATCGTATTTACTGGCTGATTGACTCTGGTAGTTCGTTCCACATCATCACGAGAGAGACGCTTGAGAGTGATCATGTGAAGGTCCTTGCATGGCTTGAAGGACGCCCGAAGTCGTATGCGGAGACTGCGACAGGAGATTCCGTTGAAATTGGCGGATCGACACATGTTTTGGTGGAAGTTTGCTTTGAAACCACCACATCAGCATCACTGAAGAGCAGTTCTGAGCATGAGGGTGACGCTGTGTACATGTGTAGGGCTAGGTTTGAAGCCGTCATTTCCGATCAGATCAAGCACAATTTGCTGAACATCAACTTACTTTGTCAAAATGGAGGTTGGGAGCCAGCAATGTGCGACCAGCAGGGCGTAATTACCGTCCGAAAGCACGGCGTAACGCTGAGACCAACCATGTTTGCTTCAGTTAGTTGGCTTGCGTCAGTTCGGAATGACCATCCTTTAGCGCTGAAACCGCAAGATTTGATCGCCAAAACGGAACAGTTTCGTCGAAGTCGGTCTCGCAAGTCGTCTTCGAGTCGTGATTTTCATCGTTCGACTTCGAATCGAGGTCATCGCAGCTCTGCGAGAGTGTGTGTTGAGCCCGAAAACCCCGAATTGCTGGATGTTTCATGTCTTGATGAGGTAGTTGATTGCGAGTTTCAGACGAGCCACGAACATGTTGACCTGGACCAAGGCGAAGCTAAGGACAGACTAAGGACAGTCGATGACGTTTCCGGCTCTGCGAGGGATCAACTTCAATTTTTCAGTCATGTGGATACGCCAGCTGTTCGTGAGCTTGATAGGGATGAACGCTTGATTTTTAGTGAAGACAACAGCGTTATCTCACACAAGCAACAGGACAACAGCACCACACCAGCAGTCGAGCGGCTTGTATTTGAAAATGACAGCAGCGTTATCTCACACAAGCAACAGGACAACAGCACCACACCAGCAGTTGAGCGTCTTGTGCATGAGCATGGTAGGGAAACAGTTGTCTGTCGTGCTTGCTTGGAGGATTTCCCTGATGAGGTTGAGATTGGCAGCTTGGATTGCTCAAAGAGGCGAAGTTTTCCTAGAGTAGGACAGATAGGAGACCGCCGCTATGGATCCGAGTGCCACGATGCAACGAAGCATCCAAGAGTTGGAAGGCATGCGCCAGGGGGCGAGACGCAGGAGACTGATACTGTTGGAGGCCAACGCCGCGCAGCACGGCATAGAGCTTCCACAGGATCTCCGAGAGGAGCTCCAGGCAACGTATGCCGAGGCGGAGTCCACTGGAGGGGACGAGATGGATCTGGATTTGGATTCGGCAAGGGTGGACCCTTCGACCTCATCTCCTTCGATGGAGTACGTCATGGAAGAGACGGAAGCGGCGGAGGCACCGTCGTCCCACACTGGGGTGAGGGAATTCCAAACGGATCCTTCGATGTCAGAGGCTCCAGCCAAGGGACCCGCTATGGTGCAGATGAAGCCGACGCCAAAGATCAAATCCAAGGAAAAAGCCAAGGCCGTGAGACCGGTGCGGAACTTGCTGCCGGACCATGTGGATCAGTCGACCATGGGGGTCGATCCTCGGGAGCCCTCCGGCCCCCCGCCGGCATCGTCAGCGCCAGCACGGAGGGGAAAACGGCGCTGGGCGTCGGCAGGCTGGATGACGTGGGTTGCTCGTCGGTTCGGAGGAGCTTGGACGGCAGCACAAGCTTCGGGAGCCAGCGACTCACCGGATACGCCGGTGACGCTGTTTTGTCTCCTGTGCCAGAAATATGTCACCGAAGCCCACTTGATGAGCGAGCCACACGAAGCCAACATGCAGGGCTTCACGCAGACCATCTCCAAGGAGGGCCTCCACGTGACACAGAACCCGGTGGATTGGGGCACATGGGAGCAAGCTCTTGCCGAACCAGAGCAGCTGGAACTTGGAGTGACAGAGGGCAAGGCTCGCTCAGTGGTTACGCTGGGACCGAGCGAGTTTCCTCAGCCGAACCCGAAGGAA